GAAAACCATTCTAACATAAGCATGTGATGCTTCCTACTTTTCTGATATAAGAAAACAAATTTTTCAATGTCATTTGCAATTTTTTATCTTTGTAATTATCTGACATAATAGGTAACACATTTGATTATCAACAATATTTGTCTTTTTATAACATCAAACGTATTTCGTATATTTTAGTTATCAACACATTATTCTGTTACTTGCTCTCTCAAAAATGCAGTGAAATGGTGCCAGAAGGGACAGATCTAGCAGAAGGATTTTATTATTACTTCAAATCAATGAACAACGTAGTAAGACTATTTCAAATGTCCTGCTTTCACAAGAAAATCTTGTGTCCAGGCATGAGAAAAATGGCAGAAAGAAGTAGTCCCTGCAGTGAAATTGTATTTGAAGCTACATAACTCATTGCAACTCTAAAAGTGACGAAACAAGTTCAGATTTCTACTCAAAAATGTTAAATTTTTTTCAGAATCTTACTTGCTTCCTATTAAAAACTGTTCCCTAAAACATAAATATTTAGCTTTTGCTCCTTTTTCTTTTAAAAAAAAAAGATTCACATCCCTTTGCACTCTTTAATAACAGTTGCTAGGCTTTGGGGAATGAAAAAAACATAACTACATTACCATAGCCAGCTGCACAAAGCTAAACTAAAGACTAGTCATGATAAACTTCTTGAGAGGTTTAGTTTCCAGTGCATATGTGAAGCTTGAGTTCAAAAATCAAGGACTGGTGAAAAAAAAAAGAGGAAAAGGACAAAAAAGAAATTATATGTTCTCCTTTTTTTTTTTTGATTTGCAGATGGAGTTATTAGCAACTATTGGATTTGGACATCAATTTGGCTGCAAAGTATCCTCGAGTGCTAAGATACTAATGGAGCTCTGTGTAGACATGGCTCTGTTTGAAGGGATGTGCTCCGGCAAACCAAGTTATCAGTGATGTTGCTGGCACTCCTGACATGGTCACAACTGCTATTCAAGATACTCCATCTTCTAGGAGTCTGAATAATTGTCCTTTACACTATATGTCTACTTGCAGTGCTTGAAAAAGTCAGTCTAGACTGGCTGGAATAACAGTAGAAATAATACAGCTATTTTAGATGAAGATCCGTAGGAGTCTAGCAGAGGTTTTCATGATGCAGTTTCTGATATTATGGTTGACACTACACTTTTTATGTACTGAGACAGCAGTCATTTGGGAAAACAACTGCTAAGCTCAAGGCCTTGGCATGACTACTTTGGTTTTTCAGGCCTCAAACTTGCAGCAACAGATGTCTTCTTTCCTACCCTGCTGCCAATATAAAAATTTCTCAGGCCTTAAAATGTAAGTTGTTTGGGGGGATGTGGGGTCTGCACAGGTTGTGTTTGCCCAGTTCTGAGTTAAGCCACCTATTGCAAGAAATGATCTAGAAGATAAAAAAAAACATATGCAGTGCCACCCACCAATGAGCTCTCAGAATAAAAAGAGGTGACATAAAGATTATTTTCCCCTCTTTCTCCGCACTATCTCTGGCTTTATGATAGAGTTACCATTTTTTCCTGTCTTTCTTCCCAACTCTCTTTTTCCTTTTCTTTGGGCATGTGGTCTTAGAACAGGATTGACTGGATAATGACATTTGCAGGTAGAAAAGTGGAGTATCTTTTGTGCTTTGCAGCATGTACAATATCCCAGGGAAAAATGCAACAGTATTTTTCACAGAAAATTTTTGCATTCCTATTTCCCCCTGTTACTCTTTCCTGCTTAGGAACTATCTGAAACTGCTCTATACACACAGAGTAATTTCACATTTCTTTGTTGAAGTGAGGCATATTTGTTTAAAAAACATATCCACAAGTCAGAATACCAAACTAAGCAAGCCAAACCTATAACCAGTAAGGTCCTTCCTGAAACAAGTTTTATGCTGTTGCACAGTAGTAAATGAAAAGTCAAAACCAACCCACTCAGACATAGAAAAAGGACTTCAAAAGGATCTTTTCTAAATAAAGACTTGTGAAATTGTTTGACCCTGACCTCTCATTTAAATCCACTTCTTAGGAAAGATCTAATAGCAGCATGACAAATTGTGTTCTGTTAAAACTGAGTTTATTCATTTTATAATATGCACTGTAGCATTTATCGGATAACATGAAGGATGATGAGAGAACAAAAAAACCTGTTAAATAAGCATCAGGCAGTGCTTTGTCTAATGTTACCTCCGCTTTTGCTAGCTGGCTTTGAAGCCTCGTACATTTACATGTCCCTGTCGCAGAGCTTTTCAGCAGTCTACAGCAGATCCAGAAGAGTAAGACTACAGATGGTTCCGGACTGCTGCCAATAGCCACCAAAATACATGGTCAATATTTTTCACTAAAATGTTCATCACTACTGTGATATAATAATAACAGGAACTGTAAAAAAACAACTTACTGCTTAGGGAAATGCTAAAGGCTTTATTTATTACCCCCTCTCCCCAGGAACCAAATACTTGTGGGATGCAAATGCTACTGTCATTAAAGAAAAGTTTGGGACACACTACCAGTAAACAAACTCTCTGCTCCATTTGATTTGTTGGGTTCTGAGATATCACCAGGAGGAGTGTTGGCTGAATGATAAGGTAAAATTATAGTAATGAGAGGTTCAGAAAGGTAGAAAATCTGCTGCAATACCAGAAAGCTGTCATTTTCTTTAAAAGCAAGTAATTTTTCTTTCTTCTATTCAAGTATTCCTTAAGGTATACGGTCTAAAGGACATAACATTTATAAATTTTGTTCAGATTTATAAAATCTCTTTCATAAATATAACTGTGAAGTTGTTTTATGAATTTATAAGGTCCTGTCTTTGTCCATAGAGAATATCTGTAGTGTTTAGTAGAAACCTATCTATGGCAGCTCTCTGGAGATGCTCACAAACTGCATTTTTAGTCTCTTGAGAAATTAAAATATCAAGTTACATGATAATCATATGCCCCCTAACTGGAAGGAATGCCTTCATTTTCAGAAAGTTACTCATATATGAAAAGACACTGTTCTGAATACAAAAGTCCTTGATGGCACATAATAATATAAAGAATAAGGGAAGGCACACCCAGCTGGTAACGCTGGTCACCACTTTCCCCAGAAGGTCACAATTCCAAGGGCTTTTCATGACAGCTCTGCCTGCTGTGACACCACAAGCCCTGGGAACCATCAGGAAGATGTTTTGCAGTAGTAAGATAACAAACACCAGCCATACTATGGCTTTCATGCAAGCATGCTGTCCCGAGGTCCTAAGAAACAAAGCTCAAAAATGCAACCGACTGAGAGCTTCCCATCAGGAAGGGTATCTGATGAACAATACAGTTACTCCAAAGCCAAAATACTTCATGGAGGATTTTTTTTCCCCCAGATCTTCTCAGGTTTCTATCACAAAACCTGAAGTAAATATTTACAGTTGCCTAGTCTGGCCTGATTCTTGCTCTGGTTTGCAGAAATGACCTGAAATACCAATTTTCAAATGTATTTCTTATTTGGTTATCTTGCCTCTTGGGGACAGTGAATAAAAGGCCTGGATGCCTCTGCAGATGCCCCGCTCTTCTCTCAGTAGGACTCATGCATGTTTTGGTAGATTCGGGTCAGTAAATTAAATCAGGCAACATTTTCATTTAGAAAAGCCTTAGTTTTACCTGGAAATAAAATCAAAATGTTCCACTGCTTTAAAATATTTTTTCAATCATTTAATTTGTTGAACACTTTGCATACTTTAGCTTTTATCCTTACTGGGAATTGAAACAAACATCAAGCACTTTCTACATGGATACTTAAAACATAAAGCTTCATGCTGTCAGAAGAGAATAACATAAGACTGATTGTTAAACCATTCTTGGAAAGTTCTGGCTTTTTTTGTTTATAATCTGTTAAAATCACACTTTTCAATACTGGCTTTTTTTATCTGGTGGACCTACTAAGCTAAAATCAGTAAGTTTGTTACTAATCTCTAAGAGGTAAGAGTTTCACTCTATTTTCATTAAACCTGTGTTTCAGTTATTCCAGGTATGGAAAAACGGTACACATAGACACAATATCTATAGACATGTATATGCTCAAACACACAAAAAATATAGTATCTATGCACTTTTATATAAAGAAAGAACAAAAGTACCAACAGCGTTTGAAAAGAACATCCTCTTCCATCACAATATACATATAAACATCATGTAGAGGTAATTATTGTAATATGCTGCAATTCCTTATACATATACTCTCATAATGTAAGTCTTAAAATGTTTCTCATTTGATTTCTTCCCGAAATTTCCATGCACCTTTGTGCATGGCCCTTCAGTGATCCATGAGCTACACTACATCTTTGAAGAGTATAGCATGTGCACTATACTGTAGTCAAAGAGAAGAAACTGAAATATCAAACGTTGCTCCTGTTCACACCTGCTCAGAGAGACAGTGGCTCTCAAATGCCAAAAGGATGCAGAAAACTCCCTGGGCTTGTGAGCATGGATAAATCATCCTTCAGCTTCAGACTTCTCTGAATGCAACAGAACCCTCAAAGCCTTTGAATGCAAATCTGCTCATCGATACAATACTCGTAACTGATTAAATTAAGCTGAACTGAATCTGTACCATGTTCTCATCTTTTCCAGAATTTAGAGAAAACAACAGTATAAATGGGATTATACAGACTTGAAATTCCATACATCTCAGTCAAGGTTTAATGCACATGTGCTTTAAATCATGCCCTATTTAACACTCGTGATTACACAGCTGACCAAATACCCCCCCTCAGAAAACGTTTCCACAACCCCTTCTAGTAACCCCACAGAAATATAGAGCAACATTTTTCTTCTATAGAAGAATCATTTAGTCATCTAGGAATCCATACAAACAGCTATAATTTCTGCCCTTGCAGCTAAAAACTAACTCTCTACTTTAAAACAGAATATTTGGATTATTTACCATTAACAAACACATATAAACACTGGAAATCAAAAGAGTTTCAGCTCATTTGCTAGGAAAAGATAAAAAGCTGTATCCTACCTATGGTGGTAATAACAGTGCCAGCAAAGAAGAAGGAACTTCCCAAGTCCCAGTGACTGTTCTGAGTAGATGTGTTTCCTAAAGGTATGATTCCTGCATTTATTGCTGCCACTACTTGCTGCAAGTTTAAAAAAAAAAAATTTGTCAATATTCATGAAACAATGATATTAAGATACATTACACAGTAAATTGATTAACTTCACATACTTAATTCAAGCAATAAACCAGAAAGGATCAGTGTTGCTCTGCTTGAGTGTCATCATTCAGTCAGGCTACAATTTAATCTCCAGCAGACACCCCAAGCACTTCAGCATGCAGCAGAGCTGTAAACTCTGAACTTTAAGGAGAACGCAAAATCCACACCACCAGTAACTGCATCACCTTAGCTAGATGGCAAGCACAATTATTTTTACTGCTGCAACTATTTGGTGAAGAAAAATATGCATTATACAAAGATTTACAAAGAGAGTTTCCCAAAGCATTCCTCTATTGAGTTAGGCAAGCACATGTACTTCGTAAAAAATAGACATTTTAAAACTCCACGAAAAAATGTCCATGCACTGTTTTGGATCAAATGAACTCCAATTAATTAAAACACTTTTGCAGAACAGATAATTCAATAATTAAAGATTAATAGTCACACATATGGTTTAAAAGCTTTTGCTATATTAATAAAAAATTCAGAGTCAAATATAAAATATGTATCTCTAAGTTTATACAACTTTATAAATGTCATTCTTGGAAAATTCACTTCTAGCAACTAAAATGAACAACCTTGTCACTAGTAACAATTTCATAGTCTCAAGAAATATGAAACATTTCCTCTTTTGGCAGTGTCACCTACTGTAAATTCTTATCCCAAAAGCATTCCTATTTAGTTTTACCTCTATTGCAGATATATATCAGTATTTGAGTTAAACAGCACACACTAAGAAAAAGCATTTTTAAGTTTGCAGTAAATATTTTAAGGAATGTAAGTTACCATTTCATTCTGAAACTTTAAAACACACTTATTTTGTAATTGTTATCCTTTTAATAATAATCGGTGTTTAACAAAAGAACAACAGAGAAAGCAATGCTGCAGAGCTAAAATGAACATTTTAACTAAAAGTTTCTGCTTGGTGAACTGCCCAACAATGATTATGCGCATAAAGATATACAGCAATAGGGCAGACCAGAATGGATTTCCATGTGGGAAGTCTGCTGCAGAGGAACGGCGTTGTGCGGTAGCAATAATTTTTTCAATCTCAAAATACACTGATAATTTGCAAATGAAAACATTTTTGTTTCTAAACAGCACCCATGGAAGTCAGTTCATCTGCACAGAAATGACAAAATACCAACACCAGGTTAACCAGGCCATTGATTTGTCATGATGGGATCTCGATATACATCTATCATTTTCAGTTTGCCATTTTCAAAGCTCAGATGCACAAAGTAATCATTTTAAAGTCTGCAGATGCACCCCAGCCACAAGGATCTTGCTGCCACACCTAAGCCATTTTCAACATCCAGGGCTGCCAAGAGAAAGACAGCTAGCATATCTTTCTGTAGATTTTACACTGGTTTATCTTCTATACCTTCAACTGTTTTCATTTTGCCTTTTTTTTTCCCCTTAAATATCAGACAGGCAGACATCAAAGATGTGGAATTTTCAATGCTACTGAGGAAGGATAAAGGATAGGGAAGGGAAGGGAAGGGAAGGGAAGGGAAGGGGAGGGAAGGGAAAGGAAGCGTAGGGTAGGGTAAGGGAAGGGAAGGGAAGGGAAGGGAAGGGAAGGGAAGGGAAGGGAAGGGAAGGGAAGGGAAGGGAAGGGAAGGGAAGGGAAGGGAAGGGAAGGGAAGGGAAGGGAAGGGAAGGGAAGGGAAGGGAAGGGAAGGGAAGGGAAGGGAAGGGAAGGGAAAGGAAAGAGAGTTTAACCTTCCTTAGAGTCAGAAGAATGAAGCTTCTTCTACATTTGCACATCACATACAACTTGGCAACAGTAAAGACAGCAGCACTGGCAGGTGTTCCCATTACTGTAGGAAGGGGCACATCACACTAAGCAGCACGTGAAAACCATCCCTTGTATCGATTTTATAATTTAAGTAATACAGATATTCCTTTGACTTATAAACCCCAGAGCGCTGCATTATAAAGCCTACTGAATACATTTTGAGTACTGTTCCAGTTAATTGGATTAAGAACTTTAACCACAAGTCTTTGTGCCTGCAACAGGAACATGGTCTTCAGCAAGGACATCATATGGTAAAGCACTGATCAATATAAATTTATGGGACTATTCATGTTTTACTACAGTTTATTGCAACAGATAAATGCGCTACCCAGAGCAACCCTGTTTAGGCAGTCTAGCAAGACCAAGTTTTATACAGGTCCAAATGTAAAATGTTTTCAGAGTTTTATATCATCACTAAACCTTTTTGAAGCCGTACTACCTGAATGTCTTCTATATGAAAGGTGAGCCCTCATGAACTGCTCAAAGATCCACTAAAGCTGCGCATTTCTGAATGCTCTATACTGTACCTACAGACTTCCCAGAAAAAAAGATACAACATGACCTGAAATTGTTTTCTTGGTTCTGTTGGACCTAACAAAAACCAGATGGCTGCAAAAGACAATTAGTCACTATTATTATGCCTCTGATCGTAGCCAACTGCTAATTAGGAAAGAAGCAGGGCAAGTAGGCAAGTGACGCTTTCTCTTCATGTATCCTCACAGCTTCTGACTACGCACACAGCTTTAGGGACTTTATGAGGAGGAGGCTGCATCTGCATCGCAGCGTTCAGATTGGTTTGGGTGGATCATTCGACCATGAACTTATCTAACTCCTTTTGGACTCACTTGTCTTTCGGGAGCCAAGTCATTCTGTGGCAGTAGGTTCTGCAATTTACTTGCAGATTATTTAAAAAGCATTTCCCTTTTGAGATTTTCATGTGCTTCGAAGTAATTTTCTAAGTTCTTATGAGAAACACTTGACTCTTTCTTACTAAATAATACACTTACCCATTTAAATAAATCTGTTTAATATTGTCTATAAGTATTTTTTTTTATTATCAGTATTTCTCACCAACTTTCTTTGTACCTTTACTCGTTTACCTTAGATAGTTTTAAACATAGTCTTAGTCATAAGGGGCCAGATGATGCTTTCTTCATCACCAGGTTATTAAGTTTCCAAACACACACTATTATGCTTTCTCCTGTGCTGTTCCTATGTTTGGGAGAAGCCAGCTGTAAACACTAACAAAGCTGTTGCATTACATTCCGTAAGATTCTTCTGCAAGAGTCTTCCTTGCTAATAAGGGGGACAGTTGGTAAGGTTGCTGGTTGACTGAGATCAATATTACTATCTCATAAAGTCTTTGAATGTTGCTGCAGATTTTTCAGGAGGGATAACAGCATTTTCAGTTCTTTGATCAGAGGACATCTTTTCTTCTTAGTTTGGTCAATCGCTATGAGGAGATCTTCATCTAAGACTATTTCCAAGTGTACTTTTAAAAAGAAAATATATAACTCTTAAAATATGTACATTTCAGGGCACTAATTTCAAAGTAGCATCTTCTTTCTAAGTCCATTGCACAAACTTACCTGGAATATTGAAAATTAGCATTTCCTTAGCCCAGAATAAAAACCCAGGCTCATGCAGCCACTAACTTTGCTAAGGGCCAGGATCTCACCCTCATTATTCAAATAGCAAGCTCTTCACTGTCAGTGATGTTAGATTGAATTTTCTCTACCTCTTCATCCTTGGTCTTCAGGCTTTTTTCTTGACTGATGCCTTAGTACTAGAGCAAACACAACCACCCAATTTGTCGCAAGTTTGCCATGTCATTCTTTCCTTTCTTGAGAACTTCTTTCTGTCACCTGAGCCCTTCAGCTTATCCTATCTCACACAATAGCGAAGGAAGCTCTGTGCATTCTGAAACTCGAAACACAATCACGTTGGCCATTCTTCTAGTTTTACTTTTTTTTTCCATACACAAACTAAATTCCGACTTAAAAATCTGTTTCACTTCATCACTACAGAACCAGTCGATATTAGAACAGAATCATTAAATCATAGAATCACAGAATATGTTGGGTTGGAAGAGACCTTTAAAGGTCATCTAGTTCACCCCTACTGCAGTGAGCAAGGACATCTAGATCAGTCTGCTCAGAGCCCAACAGGGATATGGACAGCTTCAATTCTTAACCTGCGCAGATTATTTCACTTTGCCTTAGATTCTTCCAGAGCCTTTGCCTACTAGTTGTTCCATATGAGATGACTGAGGACTGAGCAGAGGAGGGGTAACCCAGCACATGGCACCCAATTAAGGCCTCTATGTACAATGATTTTAATAATAATATTGTATGATTACAGTAAAAAAAAACCCAAAACTTTTTTTCTCCTTTAGTTGCCTTTATAATGGTGGAAAAAAGGGCATTCTTTGACAGTAAAGAGAACTGAGACAAAAATTTTAAAATATTAGAAAATTTTAGGAACTTAAATCCACATGGATTCTTAGGCTAGCTCTGTACTCTATCTTAGGATAGGCCTGAGTTATGTCTGAGAACAAGTCCTAACTTGTACTACATCCAAACTACCTGGCTTCATACCCATATTTGGGAATAAGCTTTAGTAGAGCATCAGAGAAAAAAGGCAAAGATGCTTGAGTCCAGGGTGGATAGGCCAGGCATGACCTGCTTTACTTTCGAAACAAGGACCTCAGTTCCAAAACCATATAAGCACTGTATTCACACTCTGCTTTTTGCTTGAAATCCAAACACTGGGAAGAGTGACAATATAAAATCCCATTTCTATTGAATGTCAGCTTTTCGTTTCTTATATAATTTAGAAACACTTTCTGGTAAATATATTGCACACTTTTGTATTCTCACATCCCTGTGTTCATGTAGATATGTGTCTCTAGAAGCCATGCTGAGCTACCCAGAATTTTGTGGCCTTTTTCTGTCAAAACAAGAGATAACAGCACAGTCATTTTGTGAAAACAGAACACAATTCTCCTAGGTCAGGGATTTCAACCTCTGGTGCCCTGACCCTGCAAGGAGTCAATGGAGATGACTGACAAAAGCAAGCCTGTTGGCCATAGAGCTGGATCCACTAAGCAGGGGTCCTCAGA